TTTTTTTAACTAGAGTATCAACTTTATTCATGTTAGGCATCGTAAAAAATAATGAAAGCAATTCAAAAAATAAATTATGTAACAAACTAAAAAGTTCTACGAACTATATGTTATCTGCACGTCTAACTGTACTGTACTGTTAGTACAGTAGTTATAATTTTTTTTTATTTAATTATTTCTTTATATGTAAATAATAATTTTTTAAAAATTAGTAATAATATCAAAACTTAGAAGTGATAGAAAAAGTTTAATTTCAGATTTGATAACAGTGCGAAAAGTTGATTTAAAAAAGTATATTTTCGCTTTTGATGAAAGTTTCTTGTAATCCAATTTATTTATTCATAAATAACAAAAAAAAAAAATTATTGAAAAGTATTGCATCAAGCCCTTTAAATTTTTATTCGCGTTAAAAGTAAAGAAATATACAATTACTTTTATTTTATAATATCTCCATAGAAATTACAATATTAAATTATTAAATAACAATCTCATGGTAAATTTAATTACTATAGTTATGACACGACTTACGTCGCAAAAATGTGGTCGACACTGGTTTTGAGGGTAGAGACCCGTGGGCCGTTTATTAAATGAGCGACAACAGATTATGTTAACAAAAATAAAACAAACCGAAAAGATAAACACAGTAATAATAATCTTCGCATAATATCGCGGCACTTTCGCTGGCGTCGACGACGCGATGTCCGGCGTAATCCTTGGACGGCAAAATGGTTAGCAGCGTTGTAGGCGACGGTGCGCGGGTGCGGATCGGTTGGTCGACGTTGTCGCTTTCACAACGGGAGGAATACTCTCGCATCATTTGCGGCGGGTCGTCGTCGGCCGTGCGGCATTTGCTGGACTTTGCACCGTAGTGTTGTATTTAAATATGGAACTTTGTTGTATTTATATATAAGGAACAATCTTTTTGTTCTAAACTTATAGTTTTAGTAGTTCANATATATGGAACAATCTTTTTGTTCTAACTTATAGTTTTAGTAGTTCAATAATAACGCAAAATGTAGTTAATAAAGATATAATCAATCAAAATAAAACATATAAAATATTGATACACTTAAAACCGGATAAATAAATAATACACAAAATAAAAACTTAATGTCACAAACGTACCACACGGAAAGAGATTACCTTCGGTACTCCCGAGGTTTTCTCTTTCTCTTTCTTTTCAATTCATTCCATTTCATCTTATATACTAAAATATTTTGTTTGTCTTTTTATAAAATTCATATAGTAATCATTTTCAAAAAGGTTTATAAATATTGACTTCCTGATCTAGTAACAATAATTCGGGGAATTACAATTAATCCAAACATTACAAAAGTGTTCTACTTCTAGGTTTACAAATAATAGACTATATTATATTTTAGTAATAATAGATCAAGAGATTCATAATGCAATAATTTTCAAAAATGTTTATAAATATTTACTTTTTGGTCTAGTAACAATAATTTGGGGAATTACAATTAATCTAAACATTACATAAGTGTTCTACTTCTAGGTTTACAAATAATAGACTATATTATATTTTTGTAATAATAGATCAAGAAATTCATAGTTAAACCAAACATTACAAAAATGCTTTGTTTTCAGTTTTATAAAATAATGACCTATATTACAGTAGCGTATAACACGCGGTGTTGGTCAGTCAAATATTCATAGTAGGGCGACGGCTGATAAAGGTGGCACGAGTCGCGGGGCATCGTGTATAACGAAGCGACGCGGGCCGTGTCAGTTATTATTTATTCATATATTATACTTTCAAATCAAAGAAAAACTTACAAATAGTTAGTTATGAACAGCCGCGCAGGGCGGGGTGTTTTCTAATGTGATGGTAGTGAGGTAGATCGTTGGAGAGATCTCCTTACGTTTGGGACGCAAGGAGTCATCCTCCCCTAACTCCGCTGCCACCACCTCACTAACTGCTCCCATAGTTGGACCCAAAGGTCCCACCTTTGCCAAACCACCCCTAGATGCGCTCCGCAATTTTTCCAATATGGAGGGTTTTGCTGACGCATCTGGGGAGGTGGCCGTTGTCGAGTCCGTTCCGTTGTCCAATCAATCTGATGCCAATACCCACCCGGCTATTTCACCGGTGAGAGTGGCTTGGTCACCACCACTCCCTGCAGTCTCGCAACCAACCCCGTGGTTGGCTGCAGGAGCCTGCCTCAACACTCCTGCATTTGGCGTGTATTCCTTTGATAACGACACCTGGTGGGTACACCCCCCACCATCCGCCGGCACTGGGGCATCCGAATCCTCTGATGCAGTAACCTTTACTCCATTTTGTGTCATTGTCATTTGATAAATGATATTGTGAGGGGGTTGCCTCCTTAGCCAGTCCCTTCGGCCAGTGAGCGGCTAACTTCATTGGTTGCGTTGCCATAATTCTCCGTTCTCACCCAAACGCTACCGCTTATTCGTCCATAAAGGCTTATTTCACGGTTACCCTGTATATCTACAGGGTTAACAAGCGTTTGGGCGGCTCGCTGTCCGCGACCGCTTATTCGTCAGCACAAATAAATGGACTGTTTATTTCGCGGCTAACCTACATATCTGCAGACCGTTCCTCTATCCGCAACCTGAGGATGCACCCGATTCCTCAAGCTAGGGAGACTGCGCTCGTGCCGAGGTTTCGTAGCCCCGTAGAGCCCGATCACAACGACACTGTAGCGCAGCGAAACGGGTGACGAGCCACCCCAAAAACAACCATTTTCAGGACTACATGACGCGAGATTTCGGACTCACATTGCGTGTGTGTACACTCACCATTGAGGGAATTTTTAGAGCAAAGACTGACTATCCAAACTAGCTGACAAAAATAATGTGCAAGTCTTAGTTTTGCAAGACACTCACGCAAAAAGCGATGATGACCCAAAGAAGAGGTCAGTTATTTATGGATTGAAACTTCTTGGTGCAGTTCATATCCAAATTTATGGGATAGCAACGTATGTATGTAAAGGCATAAAGGACACCAAAATAGTTTATTCTAACAATCGTTACGAAGTCTCTACACTGATTGTGGAAGTGACAGGAGTTAATATAGTCAACGCTTATAAGCCCCCTTTCTATAACTGGGGGAATTCGGATCTTGTACTGAAGTGCCACCCATGTCTCTTTGTTGGCGATTTCAACAGCAATCACCAAGTATCGGGCTATTCCACAAGTGGTACGCATGACGAATTTTTCATGGATTGGATCACAAATAATGGGTATCATCTGATATTTGATGCAAAGGAAAGAGGCACCTTTCATTCAGTAAGGTAGAATAAGGACTATAACCCGGATTTATGTATTTCATCAGCTGCATCGGCAGATGGCTGTCCAAATGTTAAAAGAAAAGTTCTCAGAAACTTGTTAATTTTAATTCCATATGAATATATATCTGTAGAATACAATTTGTAGAAATATGTAATATGGAAGATACGCGTAGTATATCAGCTCATCGTGATTTGCGTATTTCTCTAAATGAGGGAAGTATGGTACCGCCGAATCATGAACACGCCGAAAACCATTAGGACTGTCCTACAACATATATGAGTAGTTCACTATAGACACGTTGTAGATCTGCCGTTGAACAATGACTACAAAAAATATTACTTTAATAGCCCACGCTCTGATTATACGTGTATGAAATGATATGACCACTTTTCGTCCTATATAAAAATGATCCGAGCTAGACCAGTCAACGTTAGTTATCGTATGCTGCTCACGGCGATATACATTTAATAAGATATTTTATGAACTATCATACAATCTGTGTATATCATTAAAATCTATTACACATATCCGTCCGTTTGTAGATGACCGTGGCGTTATACGTGTCAGCGGCCATTCATCAAACGCCGCATTACCGATCAATCAAAGACACCAAACAAAATTAACAAAATTAACAAAATCTCCTTACTGTGAGATGTGTTCGTTTAACAGTGGTTAATCTGCAGCCGATTATGGCAGATTTACCATTATCCGTATATGAATAGTTTAATTAAAAATAATTATTTTTTTTTAATGTATAACTTAATATTTTCTTAAAAAGTGCTTTTTAAATTTAAAAATAGCGATTCAAACAGGCTTAAGGTAAAACGGCATTCTAATGCGGTGCACAACTAGTCAATCTGGTATTTAGGAAAAATCTATGTATATATAAACAAAGTTATCAGATAACTATTTTTCGATATTATTTAAAATTTTCTCTCCATCAGTAGGAAATAACACAATCTAATTGTAAATAATTATCTTTTTTGTCCTCGTCATAAGCCTTTAAGAAATTATTATCTATTCTTTCAATGAACATACCAAGTTTTCATCAATGATCTTAGACAGAGCTTGAAAATTTACACACGTCTATAAACCAGATTTTAACAACTTTCTTATTTATATATCTTATTATCTCAATATTTTTCAGTTGAATACTTAGTTTTTATTAATACTAGCTTTTTACCTTAGAGTCACAGAAAAAATTTTAGATTCAGAACTAAAATTAAAGTACTTTCTCTTTACTTATATTAATAAACGCATCATTAAAATACTACATTGGATTTGATATTTGTATTTATACACATATGCATTGTAAAGAGATTCTCGAGTAAAGTGTTTAAAAATTTAAATAACTACCACATTATATTAAACGTTCTTAGAATATATTGGACTTGACTTTTACATTAATATGTAATTTTAATTACAATTGCAAAATCTTTATTTAGCTTTACAACAAATTGTCTATGCTCTTTTATAACGTGGTTAATTTTAATATTATTATTCTTAATACTTCACTGAAGTACATTTTTATTTCATTTTGTCATAAAAAAATATAAGTATAATGTTGTATTTGTACTATAAATTTGACTTTTTTTATTAAATGAATTGTTTATGGCAGCTGTATTTAACATGTATATGAATAGTTTAATTAAAAATAATTATTTTTTATAATGTATAACTTAATATTTTCTTAAAATGTGCTTTTTAAATTAAAAAATATAAAAGTAGAAATAAATTAAGTATTTTTTTATTATTTATATACACTAATGTAACCAAAAAAATTGCCATTATTTAATCAGAATTTAACACTTAGATTAAAAATGAAGGTAAGTATATTCTATATCTGAAATGTTTTTATAATATCTTAATATTTTTTTTATTTTATAATAGAATGGTCAACTGATTACTCTTTTGTTAACAATATCTTGTCTTTTATTTAACGAAGGTAAATAATATATTACATTATTTATGATTAATAATTTTGTTAGTAATAATAAATTCATAACTTTTTAAAAAATGAACAAAATAAAATAATATTTTTATATTAATACTATAGGTATTATTTATAACCTAACGGTTGAAAAAAAAAGGTATTATAGTATTTACTCTTTCTTTTGATATATTCTTTTGATAATCTGACCTTTATCAACTCACTGGGGCAATTCAAATTACAAACTTTTGCACAAAAAGTTTTTATTTTTAGCTTAAATTTTGTAATTATTCCGAATATACTGTGTCTTTTAAACATAAGTTAAATTAAAGTTTATGTTACGTAATATAAATTAAAAAAAAAAATTTGTTAGGTACCTTATCTTATATGTGTAAATTTTCGATTTCATGCTTTTTTTTCGACTATATCTATCTATAAAATTCTAAAAATTGTATGGATCAACTTGAATTGCTTTTATAAATACTTTATATTTACCCCTTTCATCGAGCATACTTCTTTTTTTTATCAAACTATTTCCTTTTATACAGAGGGTATTCAAAACTTGAGACATACAAACTTTTTATATAATGTACGAATATAAAACTTATTCAACTTACCTTTAGAAAACGTTCCGGGAAGACTACGTTCTTTAAACATATGTTAAATTAAAGCTTATATTACATACTATATGTTAAAAATAATAATTTTTTTCCAATGAATTATTTTCTATATTTATACAGTTCACGTCGGAAGTTAGACAAAAAATATTATTTTAATATAAAAATTGTCATTTTTTAAGATGTTACTTTTACTTAAATTGGTCATAAATTGTTTGTACTAATATCCAAAAAAAATAATTTTTAAAAAAGTTATAGTTTTTATTTTTATGAAACTGTGGTATTTAAATAGATTCTATAATTGAAATATTCAGAACCATATTCCGTATAGTTATATCCTATAGTTACATTGTATAGTGTACTAATATTCAAAAATATTTCGGGCCTAGTTTTACCTATGATTTTGTCTGCTGTTTTTTTGTTGAATTTCATTGAATCTAGATTTCTTTGGTTATTATTTTTTTATACGTAAATACTCGTTTTTTACTAATTAGTAATTATATTAGAGGTGTTATAAAAAATCTAAATGTAGATTTAAAAACAATGCAAAAATTAGTTTTAAAAAAGTATATTTTTGTTATTAATTCTTTATAGATAAGAGTAGACCAAATTAATATAAATTATTTTCTACAACAAATTTTTTAAAACTTCTCTGTAAAAATTATATATTTTATTATTAAATATAAAATTATGGAATATAAATATCATGCTAAATTTAACTATAATAAGTATATATTCATATATTATACTTATAAATTAATGAACTTCTAACCAAGATATAACTAATAAAATAGAAGTTCATGTTACTTTTGGAATAATCTACCAATTTTAGATTCGTTAAAGAAGCTGAGAAGGTATTAATTTTACTATGAAGTTTTCGTTTACTATCACCACTTTCTTATTATCTCTTTAACTTTAACTTCCTATAACTTTTTGAAAAATGTATGGATTAATGCAATTTTTTAGCTTCAATGCGAAGCTAAGAAGGTATTGGTTTTACTATGATGTTTTTTTTTTTATGTCTGTTGCCACTTTTTCTCAGCTCTCACTGGACCGATTTCTTTCAAAAGTACGTCAAAAGATCACAAATCGTATCTAGTTGGAGACATTACCCTTAAAAATTGAAAAATTTTCCCTCGTTCCCCGAAAATGGGTGGAATATCCAAAAAAATTACATATTTTAAAAATTGATAAATTTTGTCATTTTTTTACTTTTTTTTCTTAAAACTTCCATAACTTTTTGAAAAATAAACAAATCAACATAATTTTTTTTTCTACTAAAACCTTAGATATTTCCCTATTGTTTGATATCAATTTGTTGAAAATTTAACACTTAACCTGCTTATGGGGAGGATTTAAAACAGCAACTTTTTTACAAAAACTAACTTTTTCAACTTAATTTTTGAAAATGTTCCGGAAATACTGCATCCTTTAAACATATATCAAATTAAAGCTTATTTTATGTGCTATAAAATGAAAAAAAAAAAATTTGTCCCGACACTTTATCTTCTATGCGCAAATAGCTACCGTATTCAAAAATATGCTATTTTTCTATTAAAATTCTAGGTTTTGTATTTTATTTTATTTTAAATTATCTTATTAGGAGAATATATTGACTTTAATGAATATTATATAATTTAATTGACATAGAATAAAGGTCATAAGACATAAGAAATTAAACTTATTAAATTTTTTTTACTTTTTTAAAGTCGAAAAAGTAATTTTTAAATTTGAGTCATCTTAAATAGCCAATTTTTTAGCTTCGATGAGAATTTTTTATGTAAATACTAATCTTTAATAATATTAAAACTTAGAAGTGATAGAAAAAGTCTAATTGCAGATTTGAAATCATCGCGAAAAGTTGATTTAGAATGGTATACTTTTTTTACTGATGAAAGTTCCTTGTAGTTCAATGCATTTATTTATAGTAACAAACAGTTTTTATTGAAATTTATTGTATCAAGCCCTTTGAATTTTTATACACGTAAAAATAAAGCAAAACACAACTTCTTTATTATTTTTATAATTGCTCCGTTTAAATTACAATATTAAATTATTGAATATAAATTTCATACTAAATTTAATAATTATAATTAGTATTTATTCATATATTATATTTTAAAATTAAAGAACTACTAATTAGGTTATAATCAAAGAAATAAGAGTTGATGTTGCTTTTGGAATAATCCACCAATTTCTCTAAACGAAATACTATCTACAGATTTGCATCGAAGCGTTTATTATGATAGTGATTTTAATCACTGTCAAATATCATCTGTACTTGTTCCATCTATGCCTTGTCTACACTGTGCCTCGACCCCACTGTGCTACCGTTTTTAGTTATTAGTCTTTATTTTTAGCTTCGATGCGAAGCTGAGAAGGTATTGGTTTTACTAAGATGTGTTTTTTTTTTTTGTGTCTGTTACCACTTTTTCTCAGCTCTCACCGAACCGATTTCTTTCAATGATACGTCAAAAGATCACAAATCGTATCTAGTCGAAGACATTACCCTTAAAAATTGAAAAAATTTCCCTCGTTCCCCGTAAATGAGGGAAACCTCCGAAAAAATTACAAATTTAAAAATCGCTAATTTTCGAAATATTTTCAATTTTTTTTACTAAAAACTGCCGTAACTTTTTTAAAAATGAACATATCAATATAATTCTTTTTTTTTGTAGATGCATGATGTCTTTACCTATCATTTGGTATATTTTTTTTATAAACTGACTTTTTACAGGGGGGGATTCAAGATGACAACTTTTTCACAAAAAATTGACTTTTTCAACTTAAATTTTGAAAGTGTTCCGGAAAGTCTGACACTTTTATATATATCTTAAATTAAAGCTAATGTAATCTACTTTATTATGGAAAAAAAAAATTTCGGACTTTATTTTGTCTTCACGGTGAAAATGGCTACCAAATGCTATTATTGTGTGAAAATTCTCAATTTTATTTTTTACATTTTTAACTTTATAATGCTATAACTTATTGAAAAGTGTATTGATCAATATAATTTTTTTATGGGAAATACTATTTTTTAATAATCCCTTTTTCATTCGACATACTTTATCTTAATCAGGATATTAATAAGGAACTAGCAGTTTATGAAGCTTTTGGAATAATCCACCAATTTTTTAAAATTAAACACTATCTAAAGATTTGCATCGAAGCGTTTTTTTTTTATAGTGATTTTAATCACTGTCAGATATCATTATACTTGATCCAACTATGCCACGTCACCACTGTGCCGCGACCCCATTGTGCTGGGTTTTTTTTATTATCAGTTATTTACATAACCGTTTTTTAAAATTTGAACTTGTTTCAATATTTTCATTAATTATTTGAAAATCCGGAGAATTGAAGTTATTTTTAAGTTATAGTTATATTTTGTAATAAGTCTATTTCTTTATAATCTCTATCATCGGAAAAAGTTACAATTTTTTATTTTTAGCTCCCTCTATAAAAATATTGAATATCAATATTGAAATGGGTCATATTTACCCCCACGCGACTTGTAACGTTATAATTTTTTTTTGGACTTGTATTTTTTTCAAAATATCGTTTTATCGTAAATGCAATGTTATAATCGATATAATATTGTGGAATTGAAATTATGTGGATCTACTACCGACTGTGCAATTAAGTTTTAAAAATAAATAATCTATTGAAAATTTCCACTACTCGATGATACGGAACAATAAGAACAAAACATGTAATAAATACATAGCGTATATTAAACAGTAAGCAAACATTTTTGGGAGAAAAATCAATGTTCAACAGATTCCGAATAATTCTATATACTCGTATCATAATAATTAAATGTATTGCAATATTAATAATAAAAAAATTCAATTCAGAAAAATGATTATATAAATGTAAATTAAATAAATATAAGTCGTGTTTGAGCTCATAGAAATACAAGAAAAATTAATTAAAATACATTTTCTAATAGTAAAAGCATTTGTTTTGCGTCTTAAAAATAAGATTTTGCAGTTAAAATAATTTTTTTACAAACCAAAATTTTTTAATGAATTTTTGAGAATTAAGTTTTTTTTTTCGTAATATAATTTTTAGCAATGCACATAATTTTGTAATTTATTTACTTTTAATTTTTATTTATATATCATATAGTAACAAATAATGTGTTTGAATTAAAAAAAATGAAATTTTTTATACATATTTTATACTTTTTTAGAATTGGAGTCTGATAGACCCCACGTGACTATGAACGTTAAAAATAGGTACGCGCCTGCTAAAGGGTTGGGTTTATTAAGATCAATTTTTTTATTAGAAGATTCCTTTAGAATTAAATGTTTTACTTCTAGACTTAATTTATCATCAATATCCTCTTTTTTAATAACACCATTATAGTATCTAGTTAATCTAAATCTGAATTCGTCTACTATCGCAGTAAAATCTAATTTTAAATTTTCACAAATAATTATTAACTCAGATTTCTTAAAAATATATTTAGTGCTTCACTTATTGATTATAAATAAAAACACTAATTTATATAACAGAAAAAATGTAGACGGTTTATTGTTTAAACACTAAGAAAATTTATATAAAAATTATAATAATGCACTACGTGTACTTAACTACTTAACCGATTAATTGACGACTAGCTAACTAACTGATTGATGTTATTGTTACGTCGCGCCGTTTTATATTGTGTGGAGTTCTAGAAGATTCTCTTATGGAATAATATAAATATCAGTTAATCTCTTTATAGAGTTATTTATTTCAGATTCTCTGATATGTTTCATATCCTATTATAAACAAAAAAATTCAAACAAAATTAGTGCTGAGTTAATACTAACATAAAAAATTCCTAAAATGGCATAAAAACTTTATTAAAAACTTAATTAAATAGTCAGATCAATAGTACTAACCTTGATATTTGACCTGGTTGAAATAAGAAACTCTATTACAATACAAGTGTAATCTCAGAGTCGTGTGCTCGAGCCGCTAGCTGGGCGCCACTTTGTTGTATCTTAAATTGAAACAACCCTAGTGTAAAATAAATATACACTTGTTAAAAGCAGTCACATACATAATATAAAATGATAGTTGAAGTAGTTTTAGATTCCTTCATTACAAAAATGTTTCAATTTTCTTATTTTTTAATATCCTTACATACAAAATATTATAATTCATTAAAAATGGGAACATGACTTAATATGTTTAAAAATAATAATAATTTGTATAAGCCTAAATCATTGTTTCAATTTATTAAAAATAATAAAATTGTAAATAAACTGCATTTCTGTTAAATATAGATGTTTGAAAATATTCTAGATTACTAAAAATATAAATAATACATATATAAACATTATAATAAATTACAAATTAATAACAATTGTCCTCATATAGCGATTCAATTTTTGGATGATGTAATATGCGAATTTGAAAAAGGTATGACGAGTAAAGCAGCTACAAATGGTGACTTGGAATTTTTAAAATATGCTCATGAAAATGGATGTCCATGGGATAAAGATACGACTATAGAAGCTGCTGCAAATGGTAAATTAGAATGTTTAAAATATGCTCATGAAAATGAATGCTTGTGGGATGAAACTACAACAAAAGAAGCTGCTTTGAATGGTAAATTGGAATGTTTAAAATATGCCCACGAAAAAGGGTGTCCATGGGATGAAAGCACAACAATAGAAGCTGCTGCAAATGGTAATTTAGAATGTCTAAAATATGCTCATGAAAATGAATGTCCATGGGATGAAAGAACAACAGATGCAGCTGCAATGTATAATAATATTGAATGCTTAAAATATGCTATTGAAAATGGCTGTGAATGGAATCAATTCAATGTCGTGTTAAGTGCTATTAAAAATGATAATATAGAAATTTTTAAATATTCTTATGAAAATTTACATGAATTAAATAATGTTGTAACTTATATAGCTGCCTTTGAAGGTAGTATAGAAATTTTAAAATACGCACATAAAAATGGATGCTCGTGGGATGAAAGAACAACAGAAGAAGCGGCTAAAAATGGTAATTTAGAATGCTTAAAATATGCTCATGAAAATGAATGTCCATGGGATGAAAGAACAACAGATGCAGCTGCAATGTATAATAATATTGAATGCTTAAAATATGCTATTGAAAATGGTTGTGAATGCAATAAATTCAATATTGTAGTCAGTGCTATTAAACACGGGAATTTAGAAATGTTAAAATATGCCTATGAAAATAGATGTCCGTGGGATGAAGACACAACACTAGCAGCTGCTTTAAATGGTAATTTGGAATGTTTAAAATATGCCCACGAAAATGGATGTCCTTGGGATGAAAAAACAACAATGGCGGCTGTTGCCAATGGTAAACTAGAATGTTTAAAATATGCCCATGAAAAAGGGTGCCCATGGGATGAAAGCACAACAATAGAAGCTGCTGCCAATGGTAATTTAGAATGTCTAAAATATGCTCATGAAAATGAATGTCCATGGGATGAAAGAACAACAGATGCAGCTGCAATGTATAATAATATTGAATGCTTAAAATATGCTATTGAAAATGGCTGTGAATGCAATAAATTCAATATTGTAGTCAGTGCTATTAAACACGGGAATTTAGAAATTTTTAAATATTCTTATGAAAATTTACATGAATTAAATAATGTTGTAACTTATATAGCTGCCTTTGAAGGTAGTATAGAAATTTTAAAATACGCACATAAAAATGGATGCTCGTGGGATGAAAGAACAACAGAAGAAGCGGCTAAAAATGGTAATTTAGAATGTTTAAAATATGCTCATGAAAATGAATGTCCATGGGATGAAAGAACAACAGATGCAGCTGCAATGTATAATAATATTGAATGCTTAAAATATGCTATTGAAAATGGCTGTGAATGCAATAAATTCAATATTGTAGTCAGTGCTATTAAACACGGGAATTTAGAAATTTTTAAATATTCTTATGAAAATTTACATGAATTAAATAATGTTGTAACTTATATAGCTGCCTTTGAAGGTAGTATAGAAATTTTAAAATACGCACATAAAAATGGATGCTCGTGGGATGAAAGAACAACAGAAGAAGCGGCTAAAAATGGTAATTTAGAATGTTTAAAATATGCTCATGAAAATGAATGTCCATGGGATGAAAGAACAACAGATGCAGCTGCAATGTATAATAATATTGAATGCTTAAAATATGCTATTGAAAATGGCTGTGAATGGAATCAATTCAATGTCGTGTTAAGTACTATTAAAAATGATAATCTAGAAATATTTATATATGTTCACAAAAATTTAATCGAATTACGTAAAGTTTTCATTACTCTGGCTGCCTTTGAAGGTAGTATTAAAATTTTAAAATATGCCCATGAAAATGGTTGGCCATGGGATGAGAGAGTAACAGAAGAATCTGCTAAAAATGATAAATTAGAATGTTTAAAATATGCCCATGAAAATGGATGTCCATGGAATGAAGACACAACAGAAGCAGCTGCTTCTAATGGTAATTTGAAATGTCTAATATATGCACATGAAAATCTATGTCCGTGGGATGAAAATACAGCAGAAAAAGCTGCTTTCAATGGGCATTTAAAATGTCTACAGTATGCTCATGAAAATGGTTGTCCATGGGATGAAAGCACAACTGAAGCGGCTGCTTATAATAATAAATTTGAGTGTTTAAAATATGCACATGAGAATGGATGTCCGTGGAATGAAAGCACAACTAAAGCAGCTGCTGCTAACGGCCATTTAAAATGCTTACAGTATGCTCATGAAAATGAATGTCCGTGGGATGAAAATACAACAATAGAATCTACTGCAAATGAACATATGACATGTTTACAGTATGCTCACAATAATGGATGTCCGTGGAACGAACTCACGTCAGAAGCAGCAGCAAAAAGTAGTAGTTTAGAATTTTTAATATATGTCCATAAAAATGGTTGCAAATGGGATGAAGCTACAACTAGAGCTGCTGCAGCATTTGGTAGGTTGGAATGTTTGAAGTATGCCCACGAAAATGGATGTGTTTGGGATGAGAGTACAACTAAAGCTGCTGCATCAAGTGGTAGTTTGGACTGTTTGAAGTACGCCCATAAAAATGGATGTGCTTGGGATGAAAATATAACTAGTGCTGCTGCATTAAGTGGTAGTGTCATTTGTTTAAACTATGCCCACAAAAATGGTTGTGTTTGGAATGAGAATACAACTCTAGCTGCTGCAGCAAGTGGCTGTTTGGAGTGCTTGATATATGCTCATGAAAAGAGATGTTATTGGAATAAAAATACGATAGTTACAGCTGCTCTGCATGGTAATTTAGATTGTCTTGAATATTCCCATATACGTGGATGTGATTGGGTTGAAGGTATTACGAGAGCGGCTGCAGCAAATGGACATCTAAATTGCCTAATGTATGTCCATGAAAATGGGTGTGATTGGGACGAAGGAACAACAAGAGAGGCTGCTGCTAGTATACAAATACAAATGGATGTAAATGGGATGAAGGGACTATGAGTGGAGCTGCTGCAAATAATCATTTAAACTGCCTTGAATATAGTCATTTAAATGGGTGTGTGTGGGATGAAAGTACAACAAGACTTGCTGCTGCAAATGGTTGATTTCAGTGCTTAGTATATGCTCATGAAAATAATTGTCCTTGGAGTAGAGGAACCATTTATGAAGCTATTCAATATAATTGTACTTACATAATCAATTATGCTACAATAAATGGCTGTCCTAGTTAATTTTTTGCAGAAATAACGTTATTTGAATTTTATATAAATATATTAACTACTATTACATTTATTTTAACAATTGTTAAAATAAATTAAGTTGAGCTGTAATGCGTATCTAAGATAGTACTGATTCTATTAACAGAATTTTTGATATATTAATTTTTAAGAAATACTATTTTCTTAATTATAATTAACAGCGTCTTAGCGTTGTTGTCAATTACATTACTAACTATTTATTCCCGGATGGAAATCCAAATTTTGGGTCAATTTATTAATGTACACCTTATTTTTATTATAATATATATGTTATTAAATAGATAATTCAAGTAAATTTATCTTTTTATTGAATTTTTTCAATAATTTTGAATGTGATTATTATTTCAAGTATCAAGTAACCTAGTTTGAGGAAGATAAAAAGTTTAAAGAAACGTAATAATAACAAGTCTCCCTAATATATAATTTAATAACGGTGTAATGTACTTATACGTATATTTAAATATATAAACAATCAAAATTTAAAACATTCTGAAATTAAAATATACTTATTACGGTTATCTATGACACGTAATCCAATAAAGGTACGGGCGCACGAGTGACGCTATAACGCACTATCGCAGATATATATATGTATAACAGTATTAAATATTTAATACGGTGTATGTAATGTTAAGCCGCATGAATTAATTATTAATTAATTGATATAAGTTTATGCCAACGACAAGTATTTAATATATAATATATATATATATATATATATATATCTTTATTGTGAATCATAAGGGCACGCAGATTAATTGCGATCGCAATTACCACTAATAAAAAAGAATAAAGAAATAAAATGACATCAGAAACCGGAACCAATAATATCGACCAGTTAAGGTATACGTCGGTAACGGAACATAACGCAATATCCGTAATCCATATTCGGCGGCGGCCTTATCTCGGTGTCAAGGGCGGGGAGACAACCGATGACAACCGATTGTCATATAAATAGCTGGACAGCTGATATCGAGAGAGGCACGGGTGAGCGCCAGCATAGCGCAAAGGACGGTGCCGTGTCAACTCCCCCTCACCAAGCCATCAGCTATTTCTGACGCGGCCAGTTTTGTAAATAAATTGTCGCATCATACACAGTAGTTATAAGTAATAAACAATTGTAGACTTACCACCATGTTCCTTGTATGTGTGGATGGTCATTGATATTGCGTTTTAAGACTTACCGTATTAGACTGAAACAGTCAGTTTCATTGGCCAGGTAGAATGGACTATTCGTTCCGGTTATCCGTAACCAACGGATGATGTAAGGACCGAGGAAGAAAAAAGGAAGAAAACGCCTCGTCCGATTACTTGGGGCGAGAGGTTTCAGGAGGGGAATGAAGTAGAGGAGGAGGGCCGGGAGAGGATGGACCCGTCAGGAATGCCTCCACGGCACGACCCAGATCGTTCACATCCATGGAGCTTAGCCCCGATGTTGCTTCCCCTGGTATTGGCGTGGCTGGTGTCGGCCGTCCGAACGATGGCCGACAGCGGCGGCGGACGGGTTCTCGGTGCTGGAGTAGGCGGTGCCGGTTTGGATGGTGGACGAACTGCCGCTTCCCTCTCGCGGTCCTTCCGCTACTTAAAAGCCCGGTTGATGCGCTCCCTCCGACGTACGTCGGAGAGAGTGAGCTTCCTGTAGTCCGGGTGAGCCAGTAGTCTTCGGGCGCTGTGGGGAGGAGGTAGCACCCTCTCCCGGCACAGGCCGCGGTACCACCGGCACGGTGGCGAGGGCCCTCCTTGTCTCGCGGAGAGTAGCCGCCCGTCCGTCCCTCATTCTCCGATTGTAGAAAATGCTAGCAATCGGATCCCTAAGGATCTTCTCATGCTGCGGGGCATTCGGGCCGCCTCGACCGACGCACGGATCGCCGGAGCATGACCCAGCCGGACGAGGAAATTGCGTACCAACTCATCACGCTCGCTGGAAGCGTCCCCGTGATTTTTCTGACTTGACATGCTGACAATTAAAATAGCCCATTAGCACTACTATACATCGCGTCGTCGATGTACTCGGGCCGTAATTTGTAATTCATGTTAACTATTTTAATTTTAGACATGAGACGTGAAGTTTGCGTGGGGGAGTTTGATCTGTTAGGAACACCCCTTTGCCCACATTTTCCGCTAGTCTGGTGGGGCCCTGTCACAAGCTGTGATTTGGTTACCGGTATTACGGCCGGTGTGTCTACGCCCATACGAATGCGTATAAGTCCGTCTAACATGAAATATTCGTTGTTGTTCTTGCTGTACTCCTTATCGTTTTTCCTGGCGTTCTCCTTGAGTAATTGTTTCATGATGGATGAAAGAAACGGGTCGTCGTTTTGCCACTCTTGTATTTCGCCCCCGTAAACGGCCGTTTATCTGACGCGTCGTTTGTTTCGGTTAAGGTATAAACATTGTCAAGAGTGGCCCGCGTGTTATCCGATGTTCTCGTCGTCTATGCGTCCACTAGATTGTTCTCGAGTAACTCTTCGTCAACAGGGAGCCCCGCAGTCGGATAACGTGACAACATGTCCGGTCCTTCGTTGTGTTTCCCGGGTACATGTGTCATTGTGCGCCTGGTTTGTAACATACATTTCAGAATATTGCTCTAATGACGCTGTCGGTCGTCCAAACACTGCTTGTGTGTGCATTCGTACCCGTATATACACAACAAATGTATTATAACTGTTTTACTAAAATCGTGCGATTGTTCAATCACAGAATAAACAGTATGGACACTGATAAAAAATTACATGGTCAATATAGGGAGGTGATTAGAATCAGTCCAACATTTGTATGTAGGTAAATCAATGTGACCACTTTTTAACACTAAAATTGTGTATACCTTTTTCAAAATGTAAAGTAACAATTTTAATTACGGCATTTATGTTTTTTTATATATTTTTAACGTGTACAACACTACATAAATATTTAAGTATTTAATATATTTAAATAATATTATAATAATACGATAATTCAAATTAATGAAATAAAAACACCAAAAATAATGATTTGTGTTCAATTGAATTATACATATTTTATATATTTCATACAAAATTTTCTATAATTTTTCATTAATTTTGAATAAATTATTTTATAAAATACATTATAGTTAAATGAATACCTTCTCAACTTTGCATCGAAGCTAAAAACAAAAAAGAATCAATTAACATAATAATATTGTTTCAAAATCATTATACATGCTCACAGTGCGTATAAGAACATATATGAAATTTGAAAGGAAACCTATTAATATAATTGCAACAATAAGAAGTTAATCAATAACAATTAACTATGTTAACAATTGTTAAGATATTAAGTACAAAGCTTGACACCATTAGGTTTAATAGAAGATTTATTATGATATTATAAGGTTTGTCATCTATAAATGTCATATTTAATAGATTTTAACTATTAAGACGTGTACTGAAATTGTAAAATGTTTTCCATATTATAAATTCTAATATGAGATTTATTAGAAAAAAATTTCATTTAATATACGATATCTTAATATACTTTTTAACTATCATTCTCTATAATGTATAAAATAGCGGTTACTGCGTAAACGAAAAATTATTTGTCATTTGTTTTATTTGTAATAACAAATGTAACATCTCATACATATTCACAACGAATAAAGCAGTAATTCACGTTCGCTTATTTTTCAGGAGATCAAAAATAAAATTTATTCTCTGATTACACTCTACATGTTTATCATTTTTTTAAGTAATTTAATTCTAATACAAACTAAATTTTGGATATTTTAATGAAATTTATTATGAAAAGAATCTTTTTCTTCTTTTTGCTGCCTTTAATCCCAACTTCTTGGTGTCGACCAAGACTTCAAGAAGAATAAGACAAAAATTCAAATACCTCATTATCGCAAAATTAAATTTTTTGAGTTACTGCCTTATTCGTTGCGAATGGCGATATATTCAGTAAAATTATATCACCAAGTCAGTGTTCCTCCGTAGATAAAATAAATACAAGTAATAGTATCTTTTATTACACAAAAACTTGTCCTCTTATGCTCTTTGTGAAACGGCTACGATTCTATCATTTTTGACCAATCAAATCTAATAAAAAATATCTAAGACTCTTGACAGAGATCGCTAAATCATTTTTAATGAACAGTGTATTAAGTCATTAACGGAATTCACAACACAGATTCGTCGTGAATATTTAATATTATTTATTTAAAAAATTGTATAGTAAGTATTCATAATTGTGTAATCTTGTATAAGAAAACTAGCTTTAATTATTTTTAAATTATTCTAAGAAATATTAATTTAAAATATATTTGATAACATCCTACTTTGTTGGAAGAAATATAAATTATTATTTGTATAGATACATTAAGTATTTACCTATCATTTGGTATATATATTTTTTTTTAATCTGACCCCTCAGATGAGGGTGAGGTATTCACAATGAATACTTTTTCGCAGTACTTCCGGAACATGATAATACTTTTGGAAGTACTATATCCTTTAAACATATGATTAAAGCTTATGTTACGTACTATAAATTAAAAAAAAAAAATTTGTCCCGACGATTTATCTTCTACAAATACTTTATATATACTTCTATTATCCGACATAACTTTTTTTTAAATCTATTTCCCTATACACAGAAAGGGTTAAAAAGTTACGAAAAAAGAAAACGCGTATAGAAACTTGAACTTTTTCGACTTAATTTTTGAATATGTTCCGGAAATATTGACACATCTACATATATATATTAAATAAAATCTTATAAAATCTGCTTTACTGTGAATAAAAAAAAATTTGACCTCTAAACTTGTCTTAATGGTGGAAATGGCTATTGTATTCAATAATATTCTATTTTTGTATAATAATTTTCGTTTTTTTTATTAATTAGCAATAATATCAAAACTTAGAAGTGATAGAAAGAGTCTAATTTCAGATTTGAAAACAGTGCGAAAAGTTAATTTAGAAAAGTATATTTTTGATTCCGATGAAAGTTCCTTGTAGACATGAATGTATGTATTCATAAGTAAAAAACATAATTTTTTAATAAAGTATTGCATGAAGCCCTTTAATTTTTATAAATGTTTGTCTAGAAGTAACTAAATATACTACTTTATCATTTTTCATTATTTCTCCCTAAAAATTACAATGTTAGATTATTAAATATTAATTTCATGCTAAGTTTAATTGCTATAATAGTTATCTATTCATAAATTATACTTTTAAATCTAAGAACTATTAATAAGAATATAATTAATGAAATAAAAATTTATATTGCTTTTGTAGTTAAACAACAATTTCTTAGAATTAAAAACTATCTACAGATTTGCATCGAGCATTTTTTATGATAGTGATTTTGTAGATATTTTATATATTTTATAGATATCATCTATACTAGAGTGGCGGCGGGTATCCTGTCGTCACTGTCACCCGCCGACCAGCTCGCCGAGGAACGCGCCGCCGGGCATGAACTCCGCCGAGAACGCGGCCGATCCCTCGAAGCCGAGGACCGGTTGGCGCTCAAGCGGATGACCATGCTTCGGTGGCGGACTCGCCTCTCGGAGGAAACGACGAGAGGCGAGTGGACCAGATCCCTCATAGGACCCGATCGGCTGGACAGGTGAGTGGACCGGACTCATGTTGAGATGACATATCGTCTCACTCAAGTAATGTCCGGATACGGCTGCTTTAACGAGTACTTACACCGTATTCGTAAAGCAGCCGCGCCGATTGCCCGGGAGAGGCTGACAGCGCTCTGCACACCCTCTTCTGGTGCAAGGCGTGGTCCCAGGAACAGGACTCTTTAGAATCTCGACTAGGGTCCACGTTCCGAGTCGGGTTCATGGTGGACCTGATGTTGAGGAGCCGGGAGACGTGGAGGCTCGTCCAGGCGTTCACCGAATCCGTCTTGTTAAAGAAGGAGGAAGCGGAACGCCTGAGACAAAAGCAGCCACGCCGACCGGCACAGGAGAACCTGAGGCGCTGGTTTAGGCCAGCGCCTTAGGTATTCGTGTTTATGTTTTTGTGAATTATTTGCCTCTCTCGTAAATTCCTTCCCCCACCTCCAAGGGGGGGGACCGGGGAACGGATCCCACTCCGGGATCCGTCTAACAGGGGAGGCCACGCCATGTTGTGATGATTCACAACGTGGTGGTGTGAGTTTTAGAGACGGCGTGGACCGCCCTGAAGTAATACCTAACGGTAGTTCTAGGGCGGACCACACTTATGCCGTTCGGGTATGAAAAAAAAGATATCATCTATACTTGTCCCAACTATGCCTCGTCCATACTGTGCCGCGACCTCACTGTGCTACCGTTTTTTTTTTTGTTATTGATATGAAAAATCATTACTTAGATTTGGTTTGGGCCTATTTTTTATTAATTAGTAATAATATCAAAAATTAATGGTGAAAAAATCTAATTGCAAATTGAAAAAAGCGCGACAAATTGATAAAAAAAAAAAATTTTTGATTACGATTCCTTGTAGATCAAAGTATTTTAGGTACACTAAAGTATACTGTTTTATTTATAAATAAATTTATATTTTATAACATTGATGTTCTATATAAATAAATAACTACTTTGTTGCTTATAAGTTTTATTTTAAAAATATTATACAAATTTGTTTAGGAATTATTAATATACCAATTTCCTTATATAAACACTTTATAAAAACTACAATAAGTGGTATTTATATTCATATGAAATGAACATGATGGATATGAATTATCTTTTGACAGCTGTATTATACGTGGGCAGCCAATATCTTCCATGTTAATGACATTTACATGTGAGATATACTGTTGTAAAATGTCTCTTTTTTGTAACCCTTTTTCAAATATCTTTGTAAATTTTAACGAGTTTAAAATTTTCGGTAGTTTTTCGATTTCTACGTCTCTGTACACGTTAACATTTTGACTTTTTTCATCTGTTGGAGTTGCATGTTTTAATATCCAGTGTTGAGTAGCATAAGTGTCAGTATCCACTACAGATAGTTCTTTTATAAGAATACTCGATATTCAATCCCAATATATACTCAAAATCTGCTATTGTTGTAACCATTATTTAGTTTGTTAACTAGTACGTGCAGGATACGGATCTTATTCTAAATCTTTTGTTTTTTGAATAAACTTACACTAGATTCAATATAAGCTTCGTATTTTACAAAACCTTTAGTTTTATTAATCTTTTCTTCTAGCTGACTATATCGTAACTTAGAAGCTGAGTCTATTGCGTTGAAAGTAGTATTTAAATTTTCAATTTTAACTTCTACTCCGTGTATTTGTTCATTTATTTTTTCAATTATTTTCTGATAATTACTAAGCGTTTCGGTAATTGTTATAATATCTGTTTCTAATTTAGCTAATGTAGACTCTAGTTTGCATATTTTTTTTATTCTTTTACTTTCTAATGATGAACCAAATACATCCATTACTGTTAACGTTTACGAGTAATAAACAAATTATTTACACAGTGGACAGTAATAGAAATATTTTACATAAAGTATGATTAAATATTTAAGTTGAAAAAACCACCTTGTTGTCTCAAATCCCTAAAAAAATAAATAAATAAATTTGTAAATTAAAATACATATATATTACATACATATTATTAATTTCATTAATGACTGTTAACTTCACTCAATTTTGTAGTGTCTGTTTGCTAACGTATGAATTTGATCTTTCATTACAATGCGATTGTCATCAAATATATTTAATGCAATATTTGTACTAGTAATAGATTTGATTTCATGCTTGTAAGATCTGAATGAGTTCATTTGTCTATATCGAATATAATCTTTTGGAATATCTTCTATTCCTTGAAAGAGACACTGCTTATAAATTTCAAATCTGATATAATTGTTGACAGCATGACATGCTACTCCTTTTGTTTTGATACACTCTTTAGAGTTCTAAACATATCCATATGCCTTAGATCTTAAGGCTATATGCTCAGATATAAATTCCTCAGCGGTTTCGTCCGTAAAAGTACCCGGAATCTTACAAGGTTCAGTGCGAATGCATGGATGATCAGAGGAGTAATTTTATGTATCCAGCTTTTCATTAAAATCTGGAGTTTTGGATACATCTTCATTAAATGTTTAGTTTTTACTAAATATATCAATGAATCTAAAAACATTAAAATAGAAAATAGTAATGAATTCATTACGTATATAAATATTAAATTAAAGACATAAAAAAAAATCTAAACTGTGTTCATGTATAAAAGTTCTATATTTTCACCATACAAAGCTTTCATAGTTCCTTATTGAAAATCGTACATCAGAGTTTTCGATATGACCAATACCGCAAATTCTATATACATAGGCTTATTAAATATTATATCATCCTTATGAAGGTTTATTGTGCACAAATTGTTATTGTAAATAGTTGCACCTCTATGGTTCGGTAGATTAACAAATTTTCTATACTTTAATTCATTGCTTGTAAGTTCCATTTTCATTCGTAATCGTACATCTATAATTTTTCCTAAAAAAGTAATTTAGAGCATTAAATTTAATGTCAAAATTGTATTATATTTCGTACGTACCGAATACTGAATTGTTCATTAGTTTATAAAAATCCTTTTCGAACACATTTTTGGCTAACGAACGAAATTGTGTATTCAACGATATATAATTTGCTAGCCAAGGGAATTGATTGAAATCTATTATTCTGTGTACTTTTTCTAACATCAGTTCTGCCTGTAATGCCTGTTTCAGCGAATTGTAACGAACAATGTAATTTTTTTATGTTCTAAGGTAGTCAAAAGCTTTAGAAATTTAGAACCTTTAGGTACTTCCTTAACTGGAAGATATGGTAAATCGTTATGATTATTATGTAAGTGTTCAGGGTATGAAATGTCAACTTCTAATATCATTCCTTTTTTTCAAATCAACTGAAGTTTCTTCCAAGAGATTTAAAACTGCTGGAACACTTAAATTCTTTTCACTCCATTTGAATCTGTTTTTAGGTAGGTACTGTGACATGGCCCATCCATACCTAAAAAGTATTATACAAATAAATTACTAATGTAAAACTATAATTATTATTAAAAATAATACAATAAAACTTACAGATTTGTAGCACCAAGATAAATGATCTAACCATCTGGTATATTGACATCATAGTCGGCAAGTCCAACATGATTAGCTTTGGTATATTTGCGTACTGCTGTCGTCAAACCTCCTCGTATACCATTTCAATCATCAACATATCGTATTCATGCAAAAATTCTAAGTTAACTTTTGTATGTTTCAACATACAGTCAAACGACATGCCTTGTGCAGTGTAATAATAATTGGGATCAAGTCCATATATTTTGATACATGCATCTCTAAATGATTCAAAGACATCACACAGCAATATCACATCCAATTTCAAATACCAATCACTGTACTGTACGAGCGTTGCACATCCGAAGTGATCCCAAACTTTTTGTGCATGTTTATAGTCCTCTTCGGTTATATGACTTTCATTCAGAGAACTATAAAAATCATTTATGGATGGCAACGCTATTTCGTTCAATTTTTCAAACGAATCTGTATATTCGTAAGGGTAAACACCTTTATGAGTAATAAGATTGATATTTGAATTTGGAAAATGTTTTGTCTTATCTTTGAATTTTCCAATGTCACCTTTAGCCAAGTTTTCCGTTAGTTTAGACAAACTAGATGCCATGAATCTATTACTATCGACAAATCTTATGTGAAAGTCCTTCATAACAATTTTGAGAAAGAAATTAACTTTACTTTGGTGTTAGGTATAACAGTTATGGGTTTATAGTCGTATTGAAGCTGTGTTACAATGAAATGACCGTCGTAGTTAGATAAGTTGTAAAAAAAGCAAGGGACAAATTTAGGAGACTTTTACTTAAAGTTGCATTTTTACAATATGTTTGCCTATATTTGGATGTTAAATGTTTATGATCACGTACTGGATGATTCTTTGTAGAGAACTTACTGAAACATAAAAAACATGAACTTTGTGTTAATGATCTCATTATGTTTTTTTGCATCAGATTGATTGAACGTCATAAGAGAGTTAACTTTTAACATTTCTCCAATATTTTTAGCCATTTCTACAATTTTCTCGATAAAATTTTTGGCAAAATCTTCCTTTTCTCCTTAGTCATCACCTCTGTATAATACTGGATTCGTTGGAATTGAGAACTGTTCTACCAAACTTGTTGTTATATCATCCCTAGTTTTAACATAAAAACAGTAACGCAAGTGTTCGTGATCATGTGTTACTCTAGTGTTCAATATTTCTTGAGTGTCTTCATTGTTATTCTTGAATAGTACAGCTTTAAAATCAACATAGATAACCACTGGATGACGTTGTGTATCCCCCCCCCCCAGTTTTCAAACTTGATGAATATATCACGTTCGAGCATAACATGAGCTATAAGTTCGTTTACTGTACATCTTTCTTTATGTCAACGTAGAAGCTCCTCTTTGCTAGGCTTGTTGGGCTTTGAAGTGTATAATTAAAAGCATCTTGACAAATCAGTAATAAAACAGTAATGAAAAATACCTTGATCGTTATTCAGCATTAAAAGATCAAAGTGATCAGGTTTTTCATCTTTGCACACTCTTAGAGGTAAAATAATATTTTTATTCACTCGAGCACGATTTTTTTTGTATGTGGCAATACCCTTTTTTAACCCGTAAACGTTAACTGGAACTCCTTCATTTTATTTCTCAAATTTCGAGATTTCATCAAGGGCCATCGGCATAGTTAAACCAGAGAAACTGTACCTATGATTAGATTTTCCAGATGTTTTTGTTGAACAGTCATACGTGAAGCGTTTGGAGAGATAATAAATTTAGATATAATACTGTAAATGAAACACTTGTTTTCTGAATTTTTCACGTTAATTATTGCAAATTTATTTCTATTTTTTTAGGGAGTGGTAAATAACTACCACCTCCAAATGGTGTATATTTATCGGTGTACAATATAATACCATCAATTCGATTTAATGTAAATCCACTACCTTTTCCTAGATATTCCTCTTGCTCTAAAATAAGTTTATTGAATTCTTCATTAAGAGATTCGTGTATTGAACTAGACATGAACAAATTTCGCTGTGTAGTTTTAAAGGATCTATCTTCTTTGGTTTCAGCTTTGTTAGGAATGACGTACGTGGATTCTAGTTTTAAACTGTACTTAATAGGACTATCGGTTAAGAGACGTTGCAGCAGTTCAATTAGTTCAGGCCTTATTTCCTCTGAAAACGCTTCATAGTTAAGTCCCCGTTTTTATTTATTTATTTTTTTTAATAAGTTTTATGCAACCCTTCAAATGCCTGTTTTATCAAATTAAAACCACTAACATTTAAATTATCGAGTTGAAATTTCTTTGTCTTTTTCCCCCTAGAGTCTGCTAGTAAGCAAAGATTATCCTCTTCTTCACCACCCCAACAAGAGTCAATCCCATGTTTTCTTTTTTCATCTGATAAATGTGCGTTAGCCATTCTTAATTAATATATTTTGTTATATAATGATATACTTTAAAAAAATAAACTAAAGTTATAATTAAAAAACATTTTTCCTAAGTATTATAAATTTTGAAAAAATCGTGCATGGTGTATGGGCAACTTGTAATATGTACTGTACTTAATTAATAATATAAATTTTAAGAAATTAGCTTTTAAATTGTAATTGTTTTAATAAAATCATAAAATTATGAAAAATCGGTTATGACGTTTAGGCGAGTTGTAATATTTACTGTGCTTAATAATAATAATAATAATAAAATCATTTTTCTTGCCTTTTTTTACGTTAGTCGATGTTGATGGTTTACAATCAGGTATAGTAACACTTTGCAACGGCTTATTCATATTGGGGTTTACAACATTTCTTTTAGTTACATTCAATTGTACTGGACGGGTTTCATCTATAAAGTATAATTATAATTTGCATAAAATATTGTTTAATGAACTTTTTGTTAATAATATCTTAAAAGAATGACTTACCATGTAACAATTTCTGATGTCTTATTAAAAGCTCTTTCTTGTAAATTTTTTTGTACATACATTACAACTAATTCGCGCATCACTATAAATTTTCATATGCAGTTTACGATTGCTAACACTTGAAAATGATTTACCACAAGTACCACATTGATGAATTTTTACCGATTTTGAAAAAATAGTGAATAAAGATTGAAGTTAACTGTAGATTATTTAAAATGTATATAATGTTTCAAGTACAGTTAATAACAAATGTTAACTAAACAAGTTAAGAAACACGAATTACACTTGTACAAAATGTTAAATGTCTTATTGGGTAATTCTTACATATAAATTTTTGTCCCTTTCCTTGTCCTTTTAGACTCCTCACTTAACGAACTAAGTATGGTATTTTGCAAAGGTATAACATATAGTATCACTAACTAATGTACATGCGTTAATGCATTGACTCATTAGTAGAAGTTTCTTTAAAGAATACCCAAAAGTAAAAGAATTGAATAATATAAAGACTAGTTATAATGTTATAACATTCTTAAACTTTAAAATGTATTCATAGTTACATTTTAAACAAGAGATTTCATATAGTAGAACTATATGGTTATTATAATAATAATCAACTAATCAAACATTAACAAAATATGTATATTAACAAACGCATTAATGTAACTGAATAATCAAAAAGAATTTGATAAAATATTACTTCTAACGTACAAATATATTCTTTTTAACTAAATTTGGTTTTAATTAATTTTCTTTAAACTAAATTCTTATGAAATAGTTAAATATTGTACATATTTATTTGTTTACTTTAATATCATAATAATAATCACCTTGTGATGAGTATGATTACATATCGCCTTTCTTCTGTGTAGGAGTAAACCGTTGGTCTACTGTTTAATACATACGTTAGTCAAGGAAGGGGGGCCCTCTATGGTCAAAGGCATACACGTCATAGTTGGGTTTCGTTGGGTTAATATGCCGCCGCCTCTCTAATGTCCTTTTAACATTTCACATTTCATATTTCACACTGTTTCCAAGGAATATTCTATATCTACTTAAAGAAAATAGGAAATCTACAAATTTACATCGAAGAGTTTACTATTATTATAATGATTTAAATTACTGTAAGATAACATCTATACATCTATGCCACGTCCACACTGCGTCGCCACTCTACTGTGCTACCGTTTTTATGTTTAGTAACCATTATCTATAATTATAAGCTATTGTAACTTTTATTGAATAATACTACCTTATAAGAATAAAAATATTACATATTTATAAATGTGTATTTAAAAGTTTTTAAGTGCAATACCATAAATTTAAACCCGATCAACCTACGCTTAAATAAATAGTTATAAGTTGAGAATTACTCAAATAAAAAAAATGCGATTTTTGCTATAAAATTATATAAGAAATATTATAATTAAATATATATTTTATACATATATACAGGGTGATTTGTTAACTATGTCTCACGTAATATCTTTAAAAATAAAAAAGTTTATAAATAATTTTTTTTTATCTTTATGGACCTTTGATGAGCCGTCTTATAAGAAAAATTGAATTTCTTTCATCATCCCTTATGCTTTGAACTTGTATCAATTTCAGATTTTCAAATGGCAACCCCAAATTATTTTTGTTCATGATAAAAAAAAATTATGAATTTTAAACAAAATACGTTACTTTAAAATTCACGATATTTGATGAAAAAATGCAGAATTTTTTCCAACACGGACACATTATTATTTTATGTAGTGATAAGAGCTACCGATTTATTTTGACGAAGCAGGTAGTCTATTATTTAAAACTGGTAGCGCTTATCGATTTACGACCTATAACGTTCGAGCCTGTTGTTTTTTTTTAATAAACTCCAAGCTTTAGAGAGCCGTGGAGTGCTTAATATTAAATAAAATAAATTATTTTTTTTTATTAAACTAAATCTAATGGTGTAAAAAAAAATAGATTTGCTATTTGAAAATATGAAGTTGATACAAGTTTTAAGCATAAGGGATGGTGGTAGAAATTTAGATTTTCTTGTGAAACACCTCATCAAAGATCTATAATGATTAAAAAAAAAATTATTAATAACACTTGTATTTTTAAAAACATTACTTGAGACATAGTTAGCCAATCACACTGCATATTTGTATTTAAACTTATATATGATGCCCAAGATTTTAAAACAATAGAAATTGTAGTTGTATATAGTCTGTTATATGACTATATACTTTTAAAGAACTTAAAAGCCCGAGCCAAAGAGTGAATTCAATTTTATTCAAATAATATTAAGGAAAACAGGCTGTAGAAATAGCTATTTATAGTAACCAACGTAAATTAACTTAAGTTAAATGTATTATTCCAATATCACATACAAAATGTTTAATTATACAAAATATTAGGTCTAGTACTAAAATCATTAAGACATTAAAATAATTTTACAGCATAAAAATTAATGAGATTAAAAATTTTTATACTTATAAGTTTATTCAAAAATTAACATTTTGAGTATTGTACATAAAATTTGGCGGGTGTAGTCATTTTTCTATACTCCTTATTGTTCTTTTTAATCTTTAGGATACTCGTTAAAGTTTAATAGCCAATCACGATATAAACACATAAATTCATAAGTTTCATCTATAGCATACAAGAATATATTCTCGAGTAATAAATAAAATCATTAATAAAGTTACACAGATTGTTTAGTAAGTAAGCAAACAAGTCAATGGTTGCAAACAATGAGAACAATAGAAACCTGTTTCCTTACTTACTAAACATCATATATAATACAAAAAAGTACCAAAATATTCAATGTGACTTTTCCCTTGGCCACCCATTTCCTCAGGCATATACTCAAGTGGAACGTATTTAAATACTTCAGTTGATCCTACGGAATGTAAAGTAACCTAGAGTAATGAAAATTTAAAGTTTTGTTAGAAAAATGTACACTAATTACGTATAAAAAGATATTACAATTTAAGACTTACTATATCTAAAAAATGGCTTCTCATAAACGGTTTTAATAAATTAAATAACGTTATAGCGAGTGAACCCGCGTTTACAATATGTACTGCCTTTAACCTTATAGGTAATCCATCCTAAAAAAAACATTTATTAAGCATTATAGGCAATAATTTTCTTTAATAAAATTTATGAAATAATTCAATACGTGTAATTTAATACTTAAACATTAGTGCGTACTTGTACAAATTCCATAAGACGTTTTGCCAAAGTCATAGGAATTTTTGTTAAATGTCTCCAGTTGAGGTGTTTGGCATCCATCGTAAGAATCACTCCTTCGAACGTCCCGTGCTGTATAATTAAAGCATCCATCACCATAAAAAATAATTGTGCACTTTTCACGTAATCAAAATATTTAGCATCAGTTTTTTTAAAGTTAGTATATACATATCTATCTTCTTTACCTTTATATGGAGCCGATATTATAGGGAAACTCCTATAAATTTTAATTTAAAATCATGAAACAATTATTGATATCAACATGGTCATTAGTAAGATGGCGGTTAATTAAAACTTAATCTTTTAATACACCGAAAAGGAACATAATATTATTTTAAAAAAGGTAATTGAGCATAATAATATGAATTTTTCGGAAGTTATAATATTAAATAAAACATATTATCTTGATAATAACGAATTTTGGAAAAAAATTAATAAATAGTAAAAAAGTGGTATAAGAATTTTAATAACAAGAAATATCTATTTAATTAAAAATACAACATGGTATAATTGTTAACGCATTTTTTTCTCTGCAATTTAATAACATTTAATTCGGATGAAATATTAATTCAATAAATTTAAAATTAAATCAAATTTCATACATATATATTTTTAAATTTGAGTTAGAAGCAGTATTGAATCCAGACAGGTTCTATGAACATTGTCAAAAAAAATAAAATGGGTCACAATTTAATAATTACTGAAAACTAAGGTTGATTAAGTATAGCTGGATTCAATTTCGTTTAAGAGAATAAGAATTTTTACTTTTGTATAAAATATAAATGCAACCAATTAAAAAAAAAAAAAACATATTCTAAATTATAGAAATCTCTGTATTTAGTTACTATAAAAATATTTTTAACACTTTTATACAACAAAGATATTTTTTCACCAAATAATATTTGTCATTAACATTTTTCGATACAGATTGTATTTATACAATCAATAACATTAAAATTATCAGCCAAGAATGTGTATACAAAATTTATGTGTGCGATTATGTTAGAGTTAAACGTCATCGTTATGAACAAATGCGTAAGTCAATTTATGCTTTTATAGGATAAATAAAATTGCTAACTTAATAATATTTAAGTCACATCACTACATGTTAAATATTGAGCATTAAAAGATATTAAAATTTTTATTGTTAATAAAATTATGGATAAATTAAAAATATATGAACATGATGTAATCAATAATAATTTTGTAATAAATTAACTAGTTGTATATTTGTTATTGATAGCAAAAAATTAAGCAACTGGGCATGTTAACCTACGTCACTAAGAGTATCATTTTAAATGCGGTCACTTATAAAAATACAATTCAACTGGTGCCATTTCTATGAAAATCAATTACGCATTAAAAGGCTATCTTAAAAACAAAAAAATAACCTAATGAACTTTAAGAGCTAGCATTGAATTAAATCAACAAATTTACTAAAACTATCAATAAGTACATAACATGTATGCTTTGTACAATACAAATTACATATTATCATCAGATTAACCTTTAGTTAATTCAAGAAAAATTAAATAAAAACAGTATTATATTGTTTAACATTTTCTTCGTAATTAACGAATAAAAAATTTTAATTCCTCACATAGTTTCAAACATATCTTTCATATCATCTGACAACGGATCAACTCTAGTGAATATTTGTGGAATATCCTTCCTATATTTGAAGTAGTTGACGAGTACAGCGTATGCTTTTTCTACATTGAAATAAGAACTATGCAAAAACAAAATTATTTCTCTATCTAAAAAAAAAAAACAGGAAAAGTATAAATTTAGAAAAAAATTTTACTCATATTCTAACATAAGGCCTAAATAGGGTGTAGATTTGAGAGGTTTAAATTATCTATTTCAAAAAATGTTTTAAAATATTTAATTCATAGTAAATGTAACGAAGTCAACCTCATTCCTATAAATCTATATGGGCTTAAGAGTAATTATTTATTATGAGTGTTTCCTAGAACAAAATAATTTATATGAATTTATAAAATGTAGCTTTGTTTACAAGTCCGTTTTTCAGATTGATTTTTGATTCATAGAATAAAATTTAAATTTAATAAAGATTAAGCGATAAAAAAAAATAAAATATAAAATATTTTGAGGGATTTTAACAATTTTGAATAAGTATTTAAATTAAAAACTGAGACATTGATACTTCCCCCATTAGTAAGGATATTTATCACTCTATCTAGATATACTACCATATAATTTAATTTAAATATATATTTGTTTATTCATTGATTATTCTTATTTAATATATATAATGATAAAACAAAAAAATAATATTTATAATAGCAATATTTATCAAAAACTATAAACACGAACTTAAAAAAAACTTAAATTCATTTTATTTAGGATAAAAAGCAATATTAATCAAGTTATAATTAAGGAAATAAGAGTTTATGTTGCTTTTGGTATAATCCACGAATTTTTTAAAATTAAATAATATCTACTAATTTGCATTGAAGCGTTTCTTTTGATAGTTTTTTTATCACTGTCCGATATCATCTATACTTGTACAAATTATATCACGCCCCTATGGTAACACTACCCTACTGTGCTATCGTTTTTTTTTAATTTGAAGTATTATATATCAGTACATATAAGATGTTGTTTGGAAACATGTAGTCTGTAAGGGCTAAGCCTACATCCAATGATGTAATCTGATGATTTTCTTTGGTTATTATGCTGATAAGTAGCGTGTTTATTTATGTATTTTTATTAAAATACTTAACTATCGGTAATCGATAATAAATTTAATATTGACAGTAAATATAGTGTTTAAAACGTAATCCAAAAATATAAAAAATATTTTAAAAAACCCAGTACAGGGGGTCGCGGCATAGTGGTGACGTGGCATAGTTGGATCAAGTATAATGATATCTGACAGTGATTAAAATCACTATAAAAAAAAAAACGCTTCGATGCAAATCTTTAGATTGTGTTTAATTTTAAAAAATTGGTGGAATATTCCAAAAGCTACATGATCTGCTATTTCCTTATTAATATCTTGATTAAGATAAAGTATGTCCAATGAAAGATGTATATAAATACTACTTCTCATGAAAAAATTGTATTGATTCATACATTTTTAAAAAGTTATAGCACTTCAAAGTAAAAAATGTAAATTATAAAATCGAGAATTTTCACACAAAAAAAGCATTTGGTGTCCATTTTCACCATGAAGACAAGTCCAGAGGTAAAATTTTTTTTTTCATGATAAATTACATTACATTAGCTTTAATTTAAAATATATATAAAAGTGTCAGACCTTCCGGAACATTTTCAAAAGTTAATTTTTTGTAAAAAAGTTGTCATTTTAAATGCCCCCCTGTGGGCAGATAAAGGGTCAAATTTACAAAAAAAATATATCAAATGATAATTAAAGACATCAAACATCTATATAAAAAAAAATTATATTGATATGTTCATTTTTAAAAAAGTTACGGCAGTTTTTAGTAAAAAAAATTGAAAAAATTTTGAAAATTAGCGATTTTTAAATTTGTAATTTTTTTGGAGGTTTCACCCATTTACGGGGAACAAGGGAAATTTTTTCAATTTTTAAGGGTAATGTCTTCGACTAAATACGATTTGTGATCTTTTGACGTATCGTTTAAAGAAATCCGTTCGGTGAGAGCTGAGAAAAAGTGGTAACAGACACAAAAAAAAAAACACATCATAGTAAAACCAATACCTTCTCAGCTTCACATCGAAGCTAAAATAAGGACAAATTTTGGATTAAAAGTAATTAAAGATGCTAAAATCTGTTTGTACACTATATAACACACAGACTAAATATGAATTTAAAATCTAATTAATAATAATTTAATTAAATACTAACTCGTAACAGCTGGTAATTTATCGTTTGCCTTTACGAGAGCTTTCAAAGCGTCAATATCTTCTAAGTTTAATTCTGGATATTTTTCTTGCTCTCCTTTTAAAAAATCTTCGTATCTAGTTTTGGGTGTATACATTATAAGATCCTGAAAAAAAACATAACATTAACTACAATTGATAAGACTATAATAACTTACATTGAATATAAATCACTTATTAATATGGGAAAATATATTATTATCATTATAATAAAACAAATAATTTTTTATAATAAAACACAATATTTGATTTTTAATGATAATTTTATTCACCCAGCAAAATAATGATAATTGTTTTTATACTACTAAAATAAGTTATTTTCGATACTTTCAGATCAAGATGCAACCATCGATAATATAGAAAACAAATTAACGAATGTACTAAAACTCATCACCAACTATTAAAACATTAATCAATTATAACTAAACTTAAACAAATTCAAGTATAATGCTTCTGCCAACAGAACTGTGACTCTACGAAACACATTAATGTAGAATGGTTAGAAAAAATATTGTAGATCACGTTCGTCGCATTCATTTTTAACTTAAGCTGATTCAAATGTTAAAATTAATTTTTTCGACTTTAAAGAAAAAAAATTGACATAAGTTTATGTCAATTAGTATTATAAAATATTCAAGAAAATCAATGTAACCCATTATAAGGTATATTAAAATAAATTAAAATACAAAACACAAAAATATTTCATGATAAACAGTAATTTTTGCATAAAAAATTACATTTTTCGATAAATTTGATATCCATTTTCTCATAGAAGAAAAAGTGTCGGGACAAATTTTTTTTTTAAACTTAGTTTTATCATAATTTTTAATTTGACATATATTTAAAGCTTGGAGTATTTCCGGAATATTTTCAAAACTTAAGTTGAAAAAGTTAATTTTTTGTGAAAAAGTTGTCATTTTAAATCCCTACAGTATGCAGGTAAAGGGTTAAATTTATAAAAAAAATATACCAAATGATAGGTAAAGACCAGAGTTGGGCAAAAACAAATCAAACTAATGAATAAAAAATAAAAGTATGAATAACTAATTAATTTGTGAATAAAGAATAATATTTTATTTTAAATAGTTTTAGTTGTGAATAATAAATAAAAATTATTCTGAATAATTTAACTTATGAATAAATTGATTATTCTGAATAAATTAGTTAAATAAATTGTGAATAATATCCAATTTTGGTGTAACAAAATTATGATAAAAATATAATATACATAACAAAGCAAATAATTATAACAACAATAATAATAATTTACATAATAATAACAATAATCGTGACAAAAATAATAATTAATTTTAATTTTTAGTTTCTATTTTGTAATTCATAATTTAAATTTGATTTTAATACAACTTTATACTCAAAATATAAAAATGTTATTAAAGCAATAAAACGCAGGTAAATAACATGTCGATATCAAGTGCTAAACCATTTAGATTAGCCTTATAGAAATTATTTATGATTTTTGGTTTTGACATTATCGATAGCAGATAATATAACAATAAGAAAAAAATACTAGTTTCAGTTTTCAGTTAAGTTGTAATTTTAAATTATCTATGAATCATTTAAGATAAACACGACTATGAAGAATAATGAATAACGAATAACTGAATAATGAATAAAAAATGTAGAATAACTCGTTGAATAACGAATAACGAATAATTGTAAAAATTAAAATAATGAATAAAAATAATCTAGAATAATCAAATGAAAAATAAACGAATAAAATATAATTTTTTATTCAAATAATCAATCGAATAATTTTTTATTCGAATAATACCCAACTCTGGTAAAGACATGAAGCATCTATAGAAAAAAATGATATTGATTTGTGCATTTTTAAAAAAGTAATGGCACTTTTAAATTTCAATTAGTTTAAATTGCTGATTTTCTCAAGCAACGAAAGTAACGAACAGTTGCCGAATCGCGGTGTGTTTACCACGCTTAGGGTACGAGATTCGAATCCGCCGGTGTGAATTAATATTTTGCATTTTTTTCTAATTAAAAAAAAATTTTCAAATCATTTGATTTTTATCTCATTTAGATTCAATAACTTCAATAAATATCAAGGATCCCATCACTATAGTCCCCCTCGTGGGAAGAAATTTCATATACATGTTAATATTATTTTAATATGTGGTTTTTTTTGTGGCTACGATTTATTTTGCCAACCCTCACTTGAACTACTTTTTTCAACGATACGTCAAATGATTACAATTCGTATTTAGTTGAAGATATTAACCTTATTAATATTTGAAAAAAAATCCCTTAATCAAATAAAAAGTAGCTTAACCATCTTTTTCCATACAAATAATTAAAATCATTAATTTCTAATATTTTTATAGTATTTATTGTCGAATTAGATTTGATATGATAAAAGTATTTAACTACAAAAGTAAATAATATTACTTTGTAATTAATTAATTTTTTAACTCTATTTGTGTGACCTACTACTTGTCTATAGTACTCCGAATTTTTTTGTGACATGTTGCTATATAAATCATAAATTAAAAAAAATTATTTTTAGTTTCACCTGAATTTAACAATGGATTTATACAATTATAATAAAAATACAATATTTTATAATAGTATATAATTCGCTCAATTGAGTAGATCTTTTTAACAACTTTTTTTCATTTTTTTAGTTAAAGTAAATCATTAAAATTAATTAAGTTCTGAATATTTCCATATAATTTTATGTTATATTTTTGAATCTAAAAATTACTAATCTGAATATAATTAAGGAAATAGTTAATGTTGCTTTTGTAATTATCCACCAATTTCATAGAATTAAACATTATCTACAGATTTGCATCGAAGCGTTTCTTGTGATAGTGTCACTGTCAGATTAAATTTATACTAAACCCAACTATGCCACGTCCCCACTGTGCTGGGTTTTTTTTTTTTAGATTTGTATCTTATATAGCATCATTTTACCAAAAAAATTGGAATATTATACACTGTTAGTAACACACACAAATGGAGTTAAAAAATTAATTAATTACAAAGTAAAATTATTTACTTTTGCAGTTGAATACTTTTATCATATCAAATCTAATTCTATAATAAAAACATTAAAAATATTTTCATACATTAAAAATCAACATTAAAACATTAACATTAAAACATTTCAATATTAAAAATCATTTTAATTGTTTCTGTGGAAAAAGCTGTTAAAAGTACTTTTTATTTGATTAAGGGATTTTTTTTAATGTTAAGGGTAATATCTTCAACCTAATACGAATTGTAATCATTTGACATATCGTTGAAAAAAGTAGGTTAATTGAGGGTTGGAAAAATAAATCGCAGCCACAAAAAAAAAAACACATAGTAAAATAATATTAACATGAATAAGAAATTTTTTCTCATGAGGGGAGACTATAGTGATAGGATCATTTATATTTATTGAAGTTATTGAATCTAAATGAGATAAACTGATAAACAAGATATAAAACCATCCCATACATATATAATTTTTCTTATCTGTTAGTGATAAGAAAGGTGGCGGAACCTCAATGAGGTACCATAAAAAACCATGGGGCCACCTCCGTGAGGTAGCCCCACAAACACACATCAGACGGACAAATTTTTTTTTTTGAATTTGTAGTATTTATTGTATGCTTTAATTTGATATATATTTAAAGGACGCAGTATTTCCGGAACATTTTCAAAAGTTAAGTTGAAAAAGTTCTACTTTTTATACGTATTATAATGTATATAGGAAAATTGTCCAATTTAAATACAAAGTATGTTAAATGAAAAAGGTATATATATTGTATTTAGAAGAAAAAAAATTTGTGTTGATACATACATTATTCAAAAAGTTATAGCAATTTAAAATTGATAATTTAAAATCGGAAATTTTAACAAAAAAATACATTATAGCATTTTTCTAACTACGGCAGCCATTTGCAAGTAGAAGATAAGATGTCAGGACAAATTTTTTTATTTTATTTTATAGTACATGACATAAGCTTTAATTTATTATATGTTTAAAGGATGCAGTATTTCCGGAACATTTTCAAAAATTTAGTTGAAAAAGCTAGATTTTGTAAAAAAGTTGCTATTTTAAATCCTCTCCTGTGAGAAGGTTAAGAGTTAGATATTCAAAAAATGATATCGAATGAAAAGGAAATATCTAAGGTTTCAATAAAAAAATTAATTAAGTTTTTTATTAATTTTTGAAAATGTTGTGGTAGTTAAAAAAAAAAGTGAAAAAAATGACGAAATTAACGATTCAGAAATTTGTAATTTTCTTTTGAAATTTCCCCCATTTACGGGGAACGAGGGAATTTTTTTCACATTTGGTAAAATTAATACCTTTTTAGCTTCGAATTGAAGCTAATAGTGAAGTAATTAATTTATCATAAACCACTTAATTAATCGAAAAATAGAAATAATATTGAGAATCTATTTTTAAGTACATGGTTTTCTTATTAATTAATCACAAAGTATTTTTATGTTCATCTCTTATACCTTATGAGGGTATTCATTTTACTTTTTCTATACTTTACTTTAAATAATAACATTTACAAAATAATTAATTTATCGTTATTCACTAAATTTATTTTATAATAAAAATTTTAATAATTTCTTATTAAATAAGTAGGGTGATCATACGTTCTCTTTTCTACAAGAATATTCTGTTTTCATATATTTTCTTGTTTTAACGGTCAATCAATTTTTTTATCTATTCAAAAAAGTGTTTTTTTTTTTTACTTATTCCAAATAAATACCTTGTTTTTATTTTTTAAATATAGTCACCCTAATCTAAAATTGCTGAATATTATTTGAATTTTTAATTAATTAAGTAGTTGAAGATAAAATATTCACAATGAAAATATGTATTTTAAATAAATTAGTAAGAAACATCACTAAAAGATGATAAAACAACCCAGCACAGGGGGTCGCGGCATAGTGGTGACGTGGCATAGTTGGATCAAGTATCTGTAAGTGATTAAAATCACAATAAAAAAAAAAATGCTTCGATGCAAATCTTTAGATAGTGTTTAATTTTAAAAAATTGNAAAAACGCTTCGATGCAAATCTTTAGATAGTGTTTAATTTTAAAAAATTGGTGGATTATTCCAAAAGCTACATGATCTGCTAGTTCCTTATTAATATTCAGATTAAGATAAAGTATGTCGAATGAAAAAGGGATTATTAAAGAATATTATTTCTCATAAAAAAATTATGTTGATCCATAAACTTTTTAATAAGTTATAGCATTATAAAGTTAAAAATGTATAAAAGTAAAATAGAAAATTTTCACACAAAAATAGCATTTGGTAGCCATTTTCACCGTGAAGACAAAATAAAGTCCGAAATTTTTTATAATAAAGTACATTGCATTATCTTTAATTTAAGATATACGTAAAAGTGTCAGACTTTCCGGAACATTTTCAAAAGTTAAGTTGAAAAAGTTAATTTTTTGTGAAAAAGTTGTCATTTTAAATCCACCCCTGTGGGCAGATAAAGGGTCAGATTTACAAAAAAAATATACCAAATGATAAGTAATGACATCAAGCATCTATAAAAAAAAAAATTTTATTGATATGTTCATTTTTAAAAAAGTTACGGCAGTTTTTAGTAAAAAAAATTGAAAATATTTCGAAAATTAGCGATTTTTAAATTTGTAATTTTTTCGGAGGTTTCCCTCATTTACGGGGAACGAGGGAAATTTTTTCAATTTTTAAGGGTAATGTCTTCGACTAGATACGATTTGTGATCTTTTGACGTATCGTTGAAAGAAATCCGATCGGTGAGAGCTTTAAAGGGGAAACAGACACAAAAAAAAAAAAAACACATCATAGTAA